GACGGGGTGGTGGGGCGGGAATCATGGGCCGGGTGGGGGCTGTTTGGGCTGGGGGTTGTGGCTTGGTTTTGGGGCGGGAGTATTGGGTTAGGAAGGGAGAATTGAGTACGGTGGGGGTTTGGGTCGTCCTCCGTAGAGTCAAGGAAAGCAAGCTCGGTGGGTGAGACAGGATGGGAGTAAGGGAAAGAATGTTCGTCAAAAGTCACATGACGAGAGATGATAATTTTGTGGGTGAGGAGATCGAGACATCGGTATCCCCGTTGGTTGGACGGGTACCCGAGGAAGACACAGCGGGCCGAACGGGGGGCGAGTTTGTGTGGTGTAGTAGCGGAGATGTTAGGATAACAAAGACAGCCAAAGACTCGGAGGTGAGAATATGTGGGTTTATGACCGTAGAGAGCTTCATGAGGGGTACGATATTGAAGAGTGGTGGTACCATGTATAAACCTGCTCTGATACCATGAAGAATTATTATTTTCTATATTATTAACGGAGGGCTAAGCCTCGTATATATAATACAGGAAGATCCTAACTACGGAAAGATTCCTATACAAGTAAACTACCATGTATACAATGATTACACAATTAATATTAAATATATACATACTATATTTAACAGATACAGAGAGGACGCATGTAACAATAGTCAAGACCCCTTGACCTGTTAGTTTTATTGACCATAAATTAAAAATGCAAAAAAGAAGGCAGACTAATGATATAATGCGCGAAACTATTGCACCAACGATCGAGAAGTAGAAAGTAAATAACGCAAGATTCAAGTTTCATGCTTCATAGTCCGAGCCTGCACTAACAGAGCATCGAAGGATATCTAATCGAGAACGAAGATCGGAGGTTGAAGAGTTCATGAACAAAGATCTAGAGTTTAGTTTTCTAGTCAACGTTTTTTGTTCATGAATAAACTAAAGGATTTAAGATAAGATAATTTCCCCTCATCGACTAAGAATATTGAGCCCGGTCTAGGATATACTACATATCTGTGAAGAAGCCTTAATATAAACCCTAACCATAGGTTCCTCATGTTCATTTATAAAAGAGGCTACATCCATGAAAAATGGAAAGCTTTCTTTACACGATTATTATGTACTAGACTCTCTCTCTCTCTCTCTCTCTCTCTCTCTCTCTCTCTCTGATCTCTATGATTGATCATCTTCTCCATAGAGCTCTAAGTGCCATCAGGGTCCGTTTGGTATAAGGAATTGGTAGAATTGGAATTGAATTGGAATTGAAATTCCATGGGATTCAATTCCATAGAATTGATTTCTGTCAATTTTAATTCATTTTTTGCACTATCAATTCCAAATCCACATAATTTTTGTGCTACCAAACACCAAAATTGGAATTGAAGTCCCCAATTCCAATTCCATAGTTTGAATTCCATGTACCAAACGGGACCTCAATGATTATCATATCCATAAATTGTAAATGTGCACCCTCAATCTATAAGAATACACCTTCGGGCATGGTACAATCGGAAAAAAGGTACGTGATTTCACCCATTTAGGATTCCACGTGAATATTCATGTGTTAATATTAGGGGCGGGCGCAGCCCATGACGGTCCGTGATACTACCAGAACCTATCACGGATCACTCTTATTTAAAAGGTTCAGTATCGGTACGGGATAAACCCCAAAATCATTCGATCAATACCATACTCATGCTCAAACCATACCAAAAAAATAATTATCCATTGCTCAAATAATATTAATACAAAAGGACAATTTTGTAAAAAAACATAACTTTGTTTTAAAAAAAGTAGTGATTTCAAATTTAAGATAATCATCAACATAAAGAATAAAAGAAATTGAGTCCAAGTTTAAAAAAAAAATCTTTTTCAACTTATATAATATTGGAATATTAATAGCTCTAAAAAAAATTTATGCTCCTATATAGTAGTAATAAATATTATGATAACAACAATAATAAAGAAAGAATATTAATAAAGAATAATACAATACAAAATGCTCCATATATTCAAAGATAATGTAGACAAATAAGTACGTAGTATTTGACATACTTCGTCAATAGCTTTGAATGATTTGATTTGTGATAATCGGTTTTAAATTTTGGTATCACGGTTTCGTCTCATTTGATATCGGTTCGGTGTTGGTGCGAATGAAACAAATCAATCTGCTTTAAAATAGTATATAAATAATTTAATACTACCACTACAAGAAAACACCAAAAAAATATGTTAGATTCAATATTCATATTGAGTGATATTCTCACAAGGAGGGATTTGTTATGTCGGTAGAAGCCCACAAACTTCCTATAATTCATTTTTTTTACTAAAACACGTTCACTTTAATCTCTATCAATTCTTACCCTATCTATTATAGATCATGTTTTTTTCATTAACATTACACACACATGAGACGAAAACATGCGGTACATATAATATACAAGTGGGTTGGGTGTGAGTCGTCGAATGATGAGACATATATATATAATGGACTACATATATATATATATATATTAATGCATACATGCAGCAATAAAAAGAAAAATAATATATATAATGCATATATTATGGTGGTTGCTAGCTTATATATGGCTTCAACTTATTTACGTGGTCTATTATTAGTCAATCATTTTTTTTTATTTAATTTCGTGTCTATCACCAAATTCATGATCAAATGCAGTACTTATTGTACCCAAAAAAAAACAGAGAGAGAGAGAGAAAGGGAAACCAATACTTTATTATTCTTCGTTTGCAACTATTATACCGGTACAACCAACTCGATCTCCATATTGAGGTTGTCTCTTCTTTTTTTTTTTAAAAAAAAAGAGAAAGAAATTAAAACATTTAAACTTTTTTTGTTAAGGTTGTTATTGGTCGATATTAACCATGGGAAAGATTTAAAAAAAAGGGAATTCAGTATATCTTTGATTGAAGATACGTGTGAGGCTGGCGGCGACGTCGCCGGAGGGCGAGGGTGTCCCGGCGTGCGTTTGGTCGCAGCGCAACAAGTGTTTAATTATGAAATATTTGCACTAAATAGCACTAAAACTTAAGTCATTTCTCTAAATAGCACTTAAATTGTTTTATTCCCTAAGTAGCACTTAAATATGTCTATAATGATCGGTGATGACGAATATTTACTTGAATAATGACTAATGCATAATGTTATACTGGTATTGGGAAGAAAAACACATGTAGTACTATTTAGGGAAAGTTATTATGTTTTTGTGGTACGAGTAAATTTCTCTTTAATTATTTCTCCATGTTTTCAATTAATTCTACTTCCGCTAGTATCAATGAGAAAGGTACAACAACAATACACAAAAGGTATTGAGTGGTTAAAGGAAATGAAATTTTTTCTGGCTCTTTTGTCACTCGATATTAGAATATACTCCCTCAAATGCAATATTGTATTGCAATTTAAGAATATGAGTGTAGAAAAGACAAAAGATATGGTGGTAAGAGTTATACTCCCTCCGTCTCTAAATAAACCTTCCCTTTCGTTTTCTCTTTGTCCCCAAATAAACTTTTCTTTTCCCTTAAAAAACCACTTTTACCCCTTACTTTTTCATACCCTACCTATCACATCATACCTTTTTACTAATAATCTACCTATCACATCTTACTTTTATACATCACATCAAGGATATTTTTGGAAAGTCAACACAAAAATATTCCTCCCTTAAATCCTCAAAAAGTAAAAAATGGAACTTTATTTAGGGATGAAGGAAGTATATACTAAAATATACTCCGTATTATGGTTCAAACTTATGCATCACAACTAAAATTTTAAATTAGTTTTTTTTACTATTACATGATTTACGGAGTATATTTTTTCATAATACACACGTGTTGTGTATATTTCATGAATTTTCTAATGTAGAAACTAATTTTGCAATAACTTCGATCTACTTGACAACTTTTAAACGTTCAAGAACTATTATTATCCTATTTATAAAAGACCACAAAGACTATATATATATATATATATATATATATATATATATATATATATATATATATATATATATATATATATATATATATATAGTGAGTGAGTGATTCGTTAACACCTAGCAACTGACAAGTGTTGGACATTGTTCTCGCCACTAGAAATTACGGAGTATTTAAGTACTATTTAGGTAATTAAAAAACGTATGTGCTAATTGAAAAAGACATACTCCCTCGTTTCACAAAACCCTTTCTCTTTCGTTTTTTGAATTCCCTAAAACACTTCCACTTTCTATTAAAAAACCACTTTTACCCTTACTTTTTCATACTCTACCTATCACATCATACTTTTTATCTAATAACCAAGCTATCACATCTTACTTTTACCCATCACATCAGGGACAAAATTGGAAAGTCAACCAAAATTACACTTTTCTTATTTTTGCTAAAAGTCAAAAGTGGAAGGGTTTAAAGGAACGAAAAAAGTATGTTTTAGTGCTATTTAGTGTAAATTCTACCTATTTTATTTTTATTAAGAGAGAGATCAAATGTATGCAATTACTTTTAAAGGCCATTTGATTGGAGAAAATATGATTCAAATTGAGAGGAAGTTTTTCAAAATGAAAACAAAGAAAAAAGAAAAAAGAAAAAAGGGGGAAAACTAGATTTTGAAAATTTTGGTTTCAATTTAAAAGAAGTTTTTCAAAAAAGAAAAAAAGGAAAATATGCAGCGAACAGAGAAGTTAAGAGAATATGAAGAAAAAATTACTGCGGGGTACCCTATATTTTGTGATAAGAACTGCATGCCAGGTCTAATTATTTTTTAACATGTATTCCGTGGTACCTTAAAATATCAAAAAAGTTACTCCGGGTGACATTCCGTCTCTTTCTCTGTTAATCTCCCTTCTCCGTTAACTTATCCTCCTTGTTCCCCATTTCCGATCTTCTTCTTCTTCTCTCCTTTTTTCCTCCCCCTCCACGCACCTTTGAATCTTATCCAGCCCTCATCCTCCCATTTTTTCTTCTTCTCTTTTTCCTTTTGAACTCTTTTTTCTTCTTATCTATAATTATTATTATTATTATTATTATTATTATTATTATTATTATTATTATTTGTTACTAATTATTATTATTATTATTATTATTATTATTATAATAATAAAAAATTTAATTAGTAGTTTTACCATTCTTATTATTTTTTACTTCATATTTATTATTATTTTCTTCTTATTCTATTATTATTATTATTATTATTAATTACTCCGTATTATTTTTATTAATAATTGTTGCTATTATTGTTAAAAATCAATTATTAGTTTTACTACTCTTTTTAAGAAAAATAACAGTAATAATTACTATTTACTTCTTATTATTTTATTTTCTTCTATTGTTTTACTTTGTATATATGTCCCCATTGACCTTTTCCAATTTCCAATTTTTCACTTGCGTAAAAGAAGGTTAAAATATTTTTAAGCTTTAATTAAAAATAAATTTTAGTATGATATATTTATGTATAGTTTATAAAATTAAGATTATTTATTCAATTGGTTATAAATTATGTGTCGCATTTCATAATGGCAGCTATCAATGATAACTGTGTGACTAATGCGGAAAATAACATTGAATGACAAATAATTAGAATAGTGAAAGTACCAATAACTTTTTTAATAATGATAATATTAAGTTTTATTTTAAATAACAAGTGATGTTTTTATAAATAATAATAAGTGTTATCTTTCTTAAAAAAAGAGTAATAAAACTACTCATTAATTTTTAATAATAATAATTATATATTAAAACAATAGCAGGAAAGTAAAATAATAAGAAGTAAATAGTAATTGATACAAAGTAATATTTTAAGTACTATTATTTTTATAAAAAAGTATAGTAGTAAAATTACTAAATAATTTCTTTTGATAAATAATACTATTTATAATTATAAGTTTTTTTTATAATAAGTGATGTTTTTCTAAATAACAATTACTGTTATTTTTCTTAAAAAAGAGTACTAAAACTAGTATGTAGTTTTAATAATATTATTAACAATTATAAATAAAAATAATACGGAATAATTAATAATAATAATAATAATAGAATAAGAAGAAAATAATAATAAATATGAAGTTATAATAATAAGTGCTACTCCACTATTTTTCTTAAAAATTAGAGTGGTAAAATACTAATTAATTTTAATAATAATAATAATAATAATAATTAATAAAAAGTAATAATAGAATAAGAAGAAAAAAGAATTCAAAACAAAACAAAAATAGAAGAAGAAAAAAGGGTGGGGTGGAGGGCTGATGAGATCCGAAGGCAGAGGGAGGAGGAGAAGAAGAAAAAAGAAGACCAAAAATGGGGAAGAAGGAGAAGTTACCGGAGAAGAGAAATTAACAGATACGGAATGTCACTCCAAAATAACTTTTTTGATATTTTAAGATATTCGTACATTTTAAAATATTATAGAACCAGACTTTTTTTTTGTCACAAAATCAAAATCTAGCGTACGTAATTTTTTCATAAAACGCGCCAAACCTGGTTCCCAGACTGTAAACTCCGGCAGTCTCCAAAACCCACCAGCCACCACCGCCATCGCTGACGATGGGGAAGCAGAAGCAACAATCCATTTCCCGCTTTTTCGCGCCAAAGTCAAACCCATCCGGCATTTCTTCGGCGTCAGCCTCTCCTCCTCAATCGCTAACCGCTCGCGCGAATCCACCTTCGCCGGCCCCGAAAATTGCGGCCACCGTGAGTTTCTCTCCATCTAAACGTCTCAGATCGTCGCAGCTCGCGTCTCCTCAGCCCAAACCCTCCAAATTTCCGAAACTTTCGTCCTCACCCGATGAACCCGCCCAAAACCCTAACCCGATTTCCCCTCAGTCCAACCCTACTCTTCACAAGAGATTCCTGGAGAGATTCCTAGAACCCAGTCAAGAACTGTTAGAGCCTTCCAAAAGAACTCAACTTTCCAACTCCAAGTACACCCCACTAGAGCAACAAGTGGTGGAGCTCAAGGCCAAGTACCCGGATGTTCTTCTGATGATTGAGGTTGGATATAAGTATAGGTTTTTCGGCGCGGATGCAGAGAATGCCGCTAGAGTTTTGGGTATTTATGCTCACATGGATCACAATTTCTTGACTGCCAGTGTGCCCACTGTTCGCCTGAATGTCCATGTGAGGAGGCTTGTGAAGGCAGGGTACAAAGTGGGTGTGGTCAAGCAGACTGAGAGTGCTGCTATTAAGTCTCACGGGTCAAACAAGTTGGGCCCTTTTTGCAGGGGATTATCAGCATTGTACACAAAAGCAACTTTGGAAGCAGCCGAGGATTTGGGAGGCGGAGAAGAGGGGTGCATGTCTTGTAACAACTATTTGGTTTGCGTTGTCGAGAAGGGGATTGAGAATGTGGATTGTGGGATTGAGGGTGGAGTTGATGTTAAAATTGGCTTTGTAGGTGTAGAAGTTTCCACAGGTGATGTTGTGTATGGGGAGTTCAATGATAATTTTATGAGGGCAGGGTTGGAAGCTATGATTTTGAACTTGTCTCCATCTGAATTGCTTCTTGGGAGGCCATTATCTAAACAGACTGAGAAGGTAGCTTATATTCAATTAAGGTTCCACATTTGACTAGACAAGATTATTAAGAAAAATGAATTTGTATGGATTGGACTCATGCAATGGAGAGAGAAATACTATGACCCACACAATTATTTCTTTGAAAGGAAAGTGAAACCTTATTTTGGGACAAACCATAAAGGAAATGTGAAACCTTTTTTCAGTACAAAAAGAGTGTCAAGTATGTGCTAATCTTGTTCAGCTTTGATCGACGATCACTTTATACCATAAGTATTATATACATAGCACAAATAGTTATTCATTCTTTTGTATTTGTGTTCTATTTATAGAGGATTACTTAATCCAAACATACCCAGTATATACCACTCGGAAGTAGGCAGTAGGGTATGGGGCAAGATGTATTCAAACCTTACCTTTAATTCAACAGGTAATTGAAGAAAGTACTAACTCACGGCTATAAAAATGCTGTCTTATTTTCAGATTATAATTGAAGACTTAGGTTATGTTTGGTGAAGGGCCTATTGGAGGGCTTTTAGCCTTTTGAGTCAATTAGCTCTTTAACATGAAGTAGGTTTTTGACATGGTCAAAAAGGTAAATTTAGTACTAGTATTTGGTAAACTCTATATCAAATTAGCAAACATACAAAAAAATCTCATTTTAAAAAAAGGCTAGATTTGGAGCCTTTTAGAAATGTTTTTGAGTGTACTTCCTATTATTATCTTGTGGGCCATAAACAAGATATGTCATTTTATATATTTACACTAATTATTGTTGCCAAACAGGCAAACACCTTTGACAAAATACAATGTTAGTGAACACCGCCTATGTAGATTGCTAATGCCAATTGCACACATTTATTGCGAACAGTTAATTTCTACACATGACCTTAAGCTTTTGTTTTGTGGACTTCGGATGCTCTATGTGAGTGGCAGGGCAGGGGATCTAAACTTCAATAATACCTTACACTAATTACTCTTTGCTTTGTTTGTTGAAATTCCCATCTTTGTGGTGCTCATCTTTGTTGATTTGTTTATGTAATATAGTAAATGTTATCTTGTTATTTTATACTCCGTAGCTGTTACTGGCATATGCCGGACCAACCTCAAATGTTAGGGTGGAAGATGTCTCAATAGATTGCTTCAGGGACAGTGGTGCCCGAGCCGAAGTATTATCCCTTTATGAGAAGATGAATGAAAACAACTCAATAGATGTCATTGAAGAAGATGCATCAACTGAAAGACAATGCCGCAATCAATTCACAGTTAAGGTGCAATTGTCACTGCCAGTATCTATTTCTTGTGCTTACTTTGTGTGTTTGCTTTTTCTAGGTGCATATAAGAACCATGAAACTTCTCACATAAACAATGAATTATTACTCCGTATAATGATGATAATTTATTTATTTATTTTTTCATTTTTTTCCTTTTATTAAATCGTCTACGTGAGAAGGTCCATGGTGTACCTTAGGTGCATGATAGAATCACTTGTTGATCTGTTCGTGGGTTCATAAGTGCTCCATCCATCGGACCAAACTAATTCCTCTTTGATTTTTTTGAAGGGAATTATGGACATGCCTGATTTAGCTATCCTATCATTAGCATTGACTATTCATCATCTTAAACAATTTGGATTAGAAAGGATTATCTGCCTGGGTGCTTCATTCCATACTTTCACCAGCAAAATGGAGATGACTCTTTCAGCCAATGCACTACAACAGTTGGAGGTAAGTGCATCCATCATTCACTAAGATGAATTCATATGATCGTTTATTAGATTTTGCTTTTTGGGGGATGTGCGTGTTAGCTAAAGGGCCGTGACTTAGTATGTAATAAAGTTACATTGAGTACAATGAACACATACATTGCTTGTTTTATCAGTTCTAAGTAATACTCCCTCTGTTCACTACAAGTATTTTACAGCCCCTTTTCATCTACAAGTATTCCTTTGTAGGAAATGAAAGTTTGGTTCTTATCATTTCTTTATCTTTCTTCAAAATAAATTTCAACCGCACTTTTTATGTTTCATGAACACCTTTCACTTTTCAACACTTTTTTTAAACACCGTGAAGGTGTGAAGTCTACAAGTTCTTTGTGAAATTGCAGTGTTGTAGGTGCATTGCTTCCCCTTCATTCATAATGTTAGGGTCTGTTTGAATTGGAAATTTTGAAGGAAACAAAATTTGTGGAAAACAAAAATCAGGATGCAATTTATTAAGTTTGTTTTAGATATTTGTTCAAACTTGTTTTTTCTTCTATATAGACATAATAAGAAATCTCCAAGCAAAAAAAAAAAAAATCTAAATGTATACATTGTGACACTTACAACTACAATTCAGTATAATCCCCACTTCGTCGGGTCGGGGGTCAAGATTTACGGAATCTTACCTCTATAAAATATACATAGAAATTAGAAAGATTGTTTGCGTTATACCCTTGATGCATTGATGCCTTTACTATGCAAAACTTCATTGAAAGTAAGAAGCAAAAGAAGTTTAATGTGCTATTTTGATTTAGTCCATTATTTATTAGAAGCTAAAGCATTGTCAATTACGACTCTTTTAGTAACATTGACAATGAACATAACACTGAAAAAACATTAATCATGTTCAATAATATGTTGTACTTCTAAAAGGAAAACCAAACATAAGAAATTAATTTCCATCATCATGTTTGTCCCCTTCACCAACATTTTCGAGGATGCGGTCATGTTCAATTGCTCTTTGTTGCAGGTTCTGAAGAATAATTCTGATGGATCCGAAGCTGGCTCATTGCTACAGTGTATGAATCACACTCTCACAATATTTGGCTCAAGGCTACTCAGACATTGGGTAAGGATATGTATTTGCCACTAATATGTTAAGATTATACTTTATTATGTTACTATAGGTACGACATGATTGGTCTCACTTTTGCTGCAGGTGACTCATCCTTTATGTGACAGAAACATGATAAATGCTCGTCTTGCTGCAGTATCTGAGATTGCAGACTCTATTAAATCTTACAAACCTTCTCATGAATCTGAAGTAGATGAAAATGGTGTTTGCGTCATTGTTGTGCAGCCAGAGATTCACCATTTACTCACTTCAGTTTTATCTGCTTTAGGGAGATTGCCTGACATTCAACGTGGGATAACAAGAATCTTTCATAGAACAGCCTCATCGTCTGAGGTGATGATATGACTTCCTGTTAGCAGTTAGCACTTAGCATAGCTCTCCATTTTGAGTTTTTGAATGGAGTATCATGCCATGCATTATACTCCCGCGGTACCAAATCTGTCTTATTTGAGTAGAGTACTAGTTTTTATGTTTAGTCAACCAAGGTGCATGTTTTTTCAAGTTATGGCTAAACCCGATTGCACTCTAGTTTTGCATGAATTTTACTTTAAAATGAAAAGTGACTTTTAAAATTGGACTCTTTTTTGGGAACAAAGAAGTATTTGTAACATAACTGTTTCTGGACAGATGTAATGGACATGACAATAGCACTTATCTCAACCCATCGCCCCTCGTTATATTTTCCATGCATGTAGAAATAACAGATGATGGCGAGGATTGTTCTCATTTTTTCCTCTTATGAGAAGGTTGCTATAGGATGAGCATCCGGCACAAAACCTTGCCGCCAGATTTTTTTTTTGCATAACAATAGTGTTATTCAGTTTTATACATTTTTTTTTGAAATACAGTTTTATACAATTAATTGGCACTATAGATTTAATGCTATCTACCACAACTACTTTGGATTAATCCGTGGATATTCTGAGGATGAGGGAGTATTCACTACTTAAGTTAAAAAGTTTAATTGAAGAGGATTTTTCTATGGGAACATTCATTCATGTTCTACTGTCATTTGACATAAGTACTATAACAGTTTATTGCAGTTATTCAAGCTATATTAGTTGCTGGCAAACAACTTCAGAGAATCCATATAGAAGGGGATAACAATAGTATTGGTAGAAGCACGGTTCGCTCTTCATTGTTACAGAAGTTGATATCAACTGCCTCCTCATCCAGTGTCATGCACACGGCTACTATGCTTTTGTCAACTTTAAACAAGGAAGCTGCTGATCAGAAGGATCTTCACAATCTCTTTATCATTTCTGATGGGAAATTCCCAGAGGTTTAATTGAAGAGTTCCGTCTTAATACCCAGCTTTATAGTGTTGTATATATACCTTGCTTGCATCTACTTATTTGTTTCTAATCATACTCCAACAATTTCTTTGTTTACTAGGTAGCTGAAGCACAAAGAAGTGTTCGCTCCGCAAATGAGAAGTTAGATTCATTGATTGGTCTATATAAAAAACAGCTCAAAATTCGTAATTTGGAATACACAACTGTATCCGGAGTGACACATTTAATAGAGGTACACGGGCCAAAGTTGTTTTTTGCTCTAGCCTTTGATAATATTTGTGCTCCATCATATTCTTTTAACAATTATCATTTGTAAATAATACAACTGACTATATTTTACACCATATAAATCTATAAATACTACTCCCTCCGTCCACCATAGATCTTCTCAAATTGACTTTTTATGGTTTTTAATGAGAGTTGAAAATAGGTGGAAGTTTACTAAAATATCCTTAATAAAACATGGTTTTGGTATTAAAAAACAAAAATGATTCTAAAGATCTTAGGAGCATTAATTATGTCATTAGCATAGATGCAGTTTGTGTGTATCACATTTGGGTAATAACTTAATGTGGATTGAAGTGCTGCAGTTGCCTCTCGATGTTAAGGTTCCCCTTAATTGGATGAAGGTTAATAGTATTAAGAAAGCAATACGATATCATCCACCAGAAGTAATAACTGTCTTAGACCAGTTATCATTGGCAAAGGAGGAGCTAACCGTTGTTTGCCGATCTGCATGGAATGAATTCTTGAAATCATTTGATGGATACTATGGTGAATTTCAAGCAAGTGTTCAAGCTCTAGCTTCATTAGATTGTCTAAACGCACTTGCCATTCTCTCAAGAAATAAGGTTATTATTGGTTAGTCGTCTTAATATAATTTAAACCTTAATGTCTTTATTCGTGTTCGCTTACCTATATAACTTGTTATGTTTTGTAGAATTATACACGTCCCGTTTTTGCTTATGATGATGAAGCTGTTCAGATACATATCACCAATGGTCGTCATCCGGTATTATTCGAAGGACACTTTATGTGATTCTAATGTCATCATTTTTGCGCTTATAAGTTTCTTATAGAAAAAGCCAAAATTCGAGCAGGTTTTGGAGACTGTTTTACTAGATAATTTCGTCCCAAACGATACAAAATTGCACGTCGAAAGTGAGTACTGTCAAATTGTAACTGGACCAAATATGGGCGGAAAGAGCTGTTATATTCGTCAGGTTGCTCTTATCGCTATCATGGCTCAGGTGAGACAACACATACAAAGCTTTTGGTAAATCCCCGAAACCAAACAAGCCAAAAATTTCACTTCAAATTATATCTTCCCAATTCTTGTGTTCATGTTTCACATAGGTTGGTTCATATGTACCCGCATCATTGGCAAAGCTCCATGTTCTGGATGGGATCTACACTCGTTTGGGTGCATCCGATAGTATCCAACGAGGAAGAAGCACATTCCTAGAAGAGCTGAGTGAGACATCTCAGATTTTAAAGAAATGCACGGCTAACTCACTGGTCATAATTGATGAGCTTGGGAGAGGCACAAGCACGCACGATGGGGTTGCAATTGCATATGCAACGTTGCAACATCTTCTGAAACGCAAGAAGTGTCCGGTCCTCTTTGTCACCCACTACCCCAAGATTGCTGACATCAAGAATGAGTTTCCGGGGAGTGTTGGGATCTATCATGTGTCTTACTTGACATCTAAAAGTGATTCAAACCATGATGAAATGAATGATGAAAACATCACCTATCTCTACAAACTTGTTCCTGGCATCTCAGAGAGAAGCTTTGGGTTTAAGGTTGCTCAGCTCGCACAGGTTCGTTTCCTATTAGATGCTTAGAAAATGCCTACTTTTAACCCCGGGGATGACACCAAGTCCCAAATGGACCCTAAGAGGGACGTTTGGAACTCCAAAAATTATGGGGAAAGAAAATCTGGATGATAAATAGGGGGAGTTTGGAAGGATAAATATAGGGAGAAAACACCGCTTCAAACTGAATAGACATTTTTTTTATATTTGTTCAACCTCATTTATTTATACCAAGATTAAAAAAATCAAAACTTGTTTTAGATTTTCTAGAAATATTTAAAAAAATCATTTTCTTTATTATTTTTTGAGTTATAACCAAACAAAAAATAAATTAATTTTCAGCAGCCCCCGGTCCCCATTATCGTTTTTTTGAAATTCAAACACACTCTTGCTCTTTACGGACTGATATATTGTATAGAAGACGCTCTTACATTTGCCAAAACGATGTTTGGTTTCAGCTTCCAGCTTCATGCATTCGGCGAGGGATTTTCATGGCCGAAAGATTAGAAGCAGCGGTACATAAGAGAGAGCAGAGATTGTTGCTCCAAGATTGCCAGAAAGAAGATGAGAAGATGGTGTTGGAGGAATTTGGGAATGGGTTGAAGGATTTCATTGTGATAATAAACTCAACACTAGTTGAAGAGGAAGATGATGATAATGAGGGAAGGATCTTCCAGTTGCTTATGCATGCTAAAAGCCTTGCTGTTGAATTGTTAAAAAACATATAGATAGAGTTTGGAGGGGATGCTTTAATTTAATTAGTTTTTTTTTTCCTTCCCTCATTTCTGTGCTGTTGTAATGCTATGTATGTTGTTATGTAAGAATGGAGAAATTGATCAACTGTGGGTTCCCATGACATTAGAACTCCATGTCATGGGATGACCCGGGACGCTCCGGTGTCCCGTTCGTAAAATTGACGGTTCTTACCTCCTGGTAAACCCCACCACCCCGCCCCGATCCAAACACCCCCCAATTCCCTTCAATTGCACCCCACAAGTTGATTTTGACTTTGAAGGGGGTGGGGGGTGTTCGGGTCGGGGCGGGGATTTACCGGGGGTAGGAGTCGTCAATTCTACGAACGGAGCATCGGAGCGCCCCCGAGTCATCCCATGAGTTTGCCGGACAATGTCATGGAGACCGTTCCCATTGACTAATTGGCATGTTAACAATTAGTCATGTCATGGGAACCGTCCTCACACACAGCTCTTTAGACATGTTTTGAACTATTGTGGGTGATTTGATTGATTTTGGATGCGTTTGATGTGAAGATCTCAAGACATAGTATCTTCTCAATACAATATCATAACAATATTATATTAAACACATATTTTTCAAACTTTGATGAATTGACACTACGGACAAAATATTAGGAACTATTGTGGCTCTTTAGAACTATTGTCGAACAAAAAAAATTACTAAATTTTTGTGTTGGAACGAGTAAATAATGTTGTGGATTTTGGACTGGAAGACGAATGGTGACGAAGGCAATGCGTCGATCAGATGAACTTGATTATAATATAACTTGATTTCTAAATAAATGGCTAAATACAAATCACACATCCAAAATCATCATCTTAACGCTAAACTGACCAATAGTTTCTAAACGTCATCCATGAGATCAATTTTCTGGGTTTTGAAGGGCTTGATATAACTTGTGCATGCTTCATAAACTAATGCCCAGCATCAATCTTTTTTCTCACCACCTGATGATGTCTCATGATCTATAGAACTCTCCGGTTGACTTTCTTCCGCCGCATGGTCAACGCCATTGGTTGTCTCTGAGGGTCCACCGCCGCCACGAGTCACGTCATCCCCGCCTTCCGGTGGCGATGCTCCTCCACTCTTGACAGTCCCAACCTTGACATATTTGCTCATGAATTTGTATTCCCAGTCGCGCAAGGCATCGAGCTCAAAGGCGCCTAGCCCGGAAATGTCGCCGGTTAGGTCCTTTTCCTCGAATGACATTTTAGCTAGCGCTCTGCTTGCGTCCCTTCCAGCAAACAACGCGTATGGCCCCCCTGGTCCATAAAACATTCTGCAACATTCAACACAAAAAAGTACATGATCACGACCATTTTTCTACTACATTAGACTCATCCAATTTAGCTAGCTTTGGGTTTGGAGTTTGAAGTTTAAGCTGGTGTGTTTCTTTATGCCTTAGTATGTAGTTTGTGCTTTGAATTTGAGTTGCTAGTGTTAGTATCATAATATATGTGCTTATTTTGTTTGAACTCTTTGTTTGTGTTACTATCAAGTGTGTTTACTTTGTTTTGCTTCTATAATTGAGTCAGATGTCTCCTGAAAATAGTCTCTCTCCTCCTAATTAGGGGTAAGATCGGCATAAAAACCCTACTTTTTTGTGGAATTTCTTCTCCAAGGAGATTCTATTAATTAGGGAAGGATGAGTCAATAAAAACCAAGTCAGCAACTAAAAAAGTTTGCAAGTCACCAATGTTATACACAACAGCTTTGGCCTTTGTTTTAGATCTTGAGAATCTGTCTAACCTTTAAACAACATTTATAAGCTTTAAAGGCCAACATCCTATAATACTTGTGGGGCTGGTGGCCGTTAAGAGGTTGGCAAAAGCAAAGAGTGTCAAGGGATAGACCCAAATTACTATGCTATGCATAGATCCTTTGCAAGTACCGGATGCATACTAATCTAATTTACATTCTCTCAGTGACAGTCCGACTGGGTCTGAGAATGGGGCTCATCCTTTTATCCTTTCTTTTTTCTACTCAGTATAATACTTGTGGGGTGTTTGTCAAACACATGTTTGGAGAGCTTTAAAATTAAAAAAAAGGTGGGTAAAAGATTAAGAGATCACACACATCCAAAGCTAAACCAAAAGACTAACAAAAGGACCTTCTTCAAAAGAACACACAAAAGTTGAATCATAACCATGGCAATGAAACTGATAATTAAAACTGCAGTAACTTCTATATAAGCAGATGAAGGGGGGATGAAAAAGGAAACGTTGCCTGCTTTGTGAAACATCATAGATCTGGCTCTTGATAGCCATGAGCAAAGGCTTCTTCGGGTCAGACCCATCGTACAGCTTCAGCTCCTCCTCCGTGATCTCGCCGACCTGAATCGGAGGCGGAAGAGGCTCGATCTCCTCCTTCTCCAACTCACCGGGCCTCCGGTAGCCGCCGGCGCGGTCCGAGGATGATCCAAACAGCCCGGAAGCCAAGTAGTAGATTGCCAGACCCAGGGCAGTAACTGTGAAGAAAGTTGCCGGAGACAGACCCGTGTATGTTGTGATTGCCGCCTTCAATAGCTCCCAGAGTTCTAGGGCGATCATGATCGGAGAAGAAGATAGATTTTCAGATGAAAAAAAGGGGTTGATGTGTCAATGAGAGTGGAAGAGAGGTAATTACGGAGTCAGTGATAAGTTGTACTGATAAACCTTTTTTTGTGTGGAAAGTTGTGTCATACTTTTAGCTTGGCCTACTTGTCCAAAATTGACGTCAAAATTAACTTGAGCGTGTAATTGAAGAGTTTGATAGTGTATTCGGGTTAAGGCGTAGTGGTAGAGTTTATCGAAAGTAGAAACCGTCAATTTTATAAAATAAATATCATGACGGTCTCAGATCACCCCATGACATGAGATTCCAATGTTATGGGAACTCTTCCGTAGTACAAATTTCAAAACAAAAGAGGTTGAAGCCGACCTCGTCCCTACTCTTTAGTTGGCTTCGACGGCTTATTTTAGGTCCCATTCTTTTGGATTGAAATTCATAGTTGGATATTGGAAAAAAAAATAAAAGGAGTAAGAAAATGTTAGAAGAATTAAAGTGTTAAAAAGTCATTCAATTGAATGATCACTCAAATAAATATGTAATACGTATGCAAGAAAAATCTAATTTTGGATTAAAAAAATTCACTATTCTCCGCATTTGAGATGATATGTTATAAATTTAGATATATAATGATATTGTCTGTTCATCATATATAAATATTTTTTTCATGTCGTTGTTGGAAGAAACTTGTGATTGAAGTGTATTGGAAATAATTCCAGTCAAAAATCGTAAACTGAAACAAGTCGTTTAAATGAAAACATAAAGTATATAATTATGCGATATATCACCCGCTGTTAAATACTAATACTAAACTATCATTGTTGCATTAAATAATTTATTTAACTATTTTTAGTTCAAGAAAATTACTTTAAAAGAGTACATATTGTATATCGCTTGATTTTTAACTTGATTCAACTTGCACCCAATTCATATTTATAAAAAGTTAAAATATTGTCTAATATTCCTCATAGAATATTGTATATCTCTTGGTTTTTACTCATAGAATTTAACTACTTTGAGTATTTCTTTAGTTTTGATTTTTTGCAATCCAACATTTACAATATTTGACCTAATAATTAAACAAAAATTATATAATATATCAATTAAATAAAATAATATTTTAAAAAACAATGTATAAAATAAATTTAATCAATTTTTTTATCAATATATAGCATCAATTTTATTTAATTATTCATCACAATTAAAATTAAACCAATTTTGAAAGAAGAAGGCTTGCCTGTGACGATGATAATATTCATATCTCATTAGCCTATTCAAGAGGCCCATGACGAAATTTATTAGACAAAATTTCTAGTGTCTTTAGCACTTCTATATTACATTTCCGTCTCGTTAAAACTCCCATATTGTTTATGTTATAATGTTTGATTAAAATTATTTTTAAGTTAATTTATTTTTAAAAAAAATTAGTGTGAAATTAGTGAATGAAACGTTTAGAAGTTATATGAAAAGTTTTACTCAATAAAACAAGTCTGTGTAATAAAAATAAAAAAGTCAAAGTTTAATCAGGAAATTTGTTAGGGTGATTTGTTTTGGGAGAAATGCCCAACTAGAATTAAAATACACTCCGTATTTGCATTAAAAAATAATTAAAACATATATTCTTTTCAAAATAAATGCTGAAGTATGACCTTTGAGGTTTTTATATGAATCAAAATTTATAATGCCAAATAATATTAAAAGAATGACATGTCAATACATAATATCAAATCACAGGAGAATATCAAACCTTCTAGTTAAGGGACAAATTATACAGAATAAGATATTTTATATTTAGTTTAAACTCTATGCTTCAATTATGTATAGGTAGTTTTTGTTTGAAATCAAAGGGTAAAAATAAAGTGATAAAAATGATAAAAGCCTGAAAATGATATTCGTTCAAATTTATCAAATCTAGACCATAAATTAAAATGATATAAGGTACTGATACTAAAATAATATATTAGATTTATTTTATGAAATATTTTTAAAATATTTTTTATATGATTAATACTACCTCCGTCCCAGAGTATTTGTCCACTTTCATTTTTACACACCATCCAATACATTTCTTTAATAGATTTTATCTTGCAATTTGTATATTAAAAAATTATAAAAATTATATATTAATAATTTATATGTTAAGACAAATCAAACAAGATCACACATGACTATATTTAGACTTACACATTTAGAGAATTTGATGAGTCAAAGTGCTTAGATGAACAATTTCAAACGTCAAAACTGGACGAATACTCCGGGACGGAGGGAGTATAAGATATATATTTTATATAAAGCTTGAAAATGATTAAGTATAAAAAGTATAAACTAAAAAAACTCGAAAATGGAGATGATACCTTTTTTTGAAACGTCTAAAAAAGAAAAAGAAACCATTCTAAATACGAGTAAAACATAGAAAAAGTACCAAAATAGAAGTTTCATCCACCAAAATTATTTCATAATAATTTTTACTCTTATTTAATCTTTTTATTAAAAAGAAATGATGAATTTTTTTAAGGCATTTATTAATTTACCTTAGAGTCTTAGACGTATCATGGAACACGCAAGCCTAACAAACCGAGTCTATGAAGAGAAACTTCCCGAAGAGCCTTAATTATCATATTTCCCCCCCTTCGAGATTCTTTATTCCTACTTTTCTCCCCTTTTCTTGAACCTTCTAACGTTTACTGTACCTTCCAGCTGTTTCCATCCCAACCCAAATAAGTACCATCCCCCCATCGGAACCTTCTAGAATTACCACCATTCATTCCCATCCTCTTCCGCCACCACCACCTCTATCCTCCGCCGCCGCCTCCGTCGCAGCCCTGCCTCTGTACACCAGATCTGCACCAGCAACTCCATTCAAGTGGACCTCTCCTCACCTTCTTCTGAAATTCGGGAATTAATTCTGCCCTCGCGGCGTTCGGTAACGTTTTTGGTTTCTATTCAGGTCCGGATTTGGATAATTTATGGCTCCTCCTCCGCAGCCGGTGGAGCGTAACGGAGGAGAAGCGTCAGTCAGCGGAGAGACGCAGCGGGCTGTGCCGACGCCGTTCCTGACGAAAACGTACCAGCTCGTCGACGACCATTCCGTTGACGACGTGATCTCCTGGAACGAAGACGGATCCACCTTCATCGTCTGGAATCCGACTGAGTTCGCCAGAGATTTGCTCCCCAAACATTTCAAACACAACAATTTCTCCAGCTTCGTTCGCCAGCTCAACACATATGTAAGTTCTACATCTCCAGATTCGCGCCCGAAACCTTTTCTCGTTTGATGATTCGATTTCAATTTAATTTGATTCCGATTAAGACTCGATTTGATTTCAATTCTCAGGGATTCCGCAAAATTGTGCCGGACAGATGGGAGTTCGCAAACGATTGCTTTAGGAGAGGCGAGAAGCGTTTGTTGTGCGATATACAGCGTCGGAAAATTGTGTCGCCAGCGGCGGCCACAGGCGCGGTCGCCCCAGCCGCGGTGGTAGCCTCTGAGGCGGTGACTGTGGTCGCAGCGGCGGTTCCTCCACAGACGGTGAAGACAGTTTCGCCTTCGAATTCGTGCGAGGAGCAAGTTGTGTCATCCAATTCCTCCCCTGGGACGGGCTCCAGAGAAGCAGCAGCCCAAGGAAAAAGCATGGCGGAGCTGATCGGAGAAAACGAACGGCTGAGGAAGGAGAACACGCAGCTGAGCAAGGAGCTGAGCCAGATGAAGAGTCTCTGCAACAACATATACCTATTAATGTCAAATTACTCAAACAACTGCAGCAACCAACCTGCAGATAGCAGCTCGAGACCGCTAAAGCCGCTGGATCTAATGCCTGCCGCCCCTGCAGCTTGCGGCGGAGAGAGCCAGCCGGGAGCAAGAGCCACACTATTCGGAGTTCCAATCAGTTCGAAGCGGGCGAGAGAAGGCGAATATGAATCGGCTGAGCAGGACAACGAGCTGCGGCTGCAACTGCCCTTGGCCGCGGCCGGCATGAAACTAGAGCCCTCAGATCCACAAGAGGGCGACGGGAAGCCGTGGATTAGACATTGCCAAAGACGAAATCAAAGAGTGAGTGATTGAAGATGGAATACTTAGCGGTGGGATCGTTGTCCAGAAGCCAAAGACCAAAGGCTAATACAGTCACAGACATGTTTCTGCAGCACAAACATTTTGTGTGGGCGTGTCTGTGTTAGCTTGGTATATAAATGGGATATTCTATGTTGGTGTACTTCTAGGTTAATTCTTCTTCTTTTTTAGTAGTTTTACTTTTTAAAAAACTCAATGGGTTAAATTTTAGTAAGGAGGTATTGGTGAGGTCGATTAGGATTAACCACTTTATTCATACCGAATAATGGAGTGAAAATGTGAGATTTCAAAGGGGCTGTTGTTTGTACCATAGTAAGGTTTGTAGTGTAAACGTTAATGTATATTCAAACCCTAGTTTGGTAGGTATGTGTGTGTTGTTCTAATAACATTTGGGAACCGGAACCAGTGGTTAAGGCTTCATTTCTTTCTCTTTTTTTTTTTTTCTTTTTTTAGTTTTCAAAGTTAATTCTCAATTTGTTTAAGGTTTATTTCACGATATCTAGAAACAAAAAAAATACTCCGTAATACAGAGATAGGAGAACGAAGATGTGTGGTCCCCGATTCGCCAAGGAAGGGGGGAGAAGACGAAGATGGGAAGATCGGGAACATGATCACCTTGTTTGTGACTCTAACATTGATCATGTTAGTTGCGGAGTATTATGATTAGTCAATCCATGTAATGACTTCAATTTGAATGAACCATCCATATAATGACTAAAAAAGGGATTATTTTATATATTTGTTGTATAATAGCAGAAAAGGAGTGTGAGTATGGAGAGCATTGGTTTTTGTTATATGATGATGCAGATTTGCATTCACTACCCAAAAAAACACATGGAACTTTAGGAGTGGAAACGCAGAAACCAAACATTCTGAGATTGAGAGGACCTATACACAAAACAACAATAATAATCAACAAATAAGGTGGGACTAATAATCAACATAGTTTTGCGCATCTCTCCCACTTCATGCGCGAGCCTTCTTCTTCTTCTTCTTCTTCAACCACGCCCTGCAAATCGGGGGTGGCGAAAACCTTTACGGATTCCCATATTCCAGAGGATGTCAAGAAGAAGACATTCATTATCCTCCTTTTCCAAAATCAAACATTTATCTCGGCATTACACTGGTTTTCCCTACTGCAACTCCTCCTTCCCCAAAACATGTTGGAACACGTTGTTTTCTCCAACCTCACCCCCATCTTGTCTTCCTCCTCTGAGGCCGCCGCGGGAGGTTCTCCTCCCCGGGTAGGAGACCCCTCGTCCTGGCTTCTGTCTTCTCGGGACTCAAAAGTAGGGCACGGTCCTTCGTTGCACGTGCACAAAGGGATTGTCACAGAAGGGAAGGGACTGCAGGTGACAGGGCAGAGCATGATATCCGAAGAAGACACGGAAGCAACGCGGTTCTTTCTGAGGTCATGCCCGGTCCCACCCCCGGGCAGATACTTTGGTTCTAGGTCGCGGGGGTGTAGGACGCACGGGGTGCATAAGCTGAGAGACAGGCTAACTTTGAGTTCTTTTGTAGCAGAACCGGGCAGTTTGAGGAAAGAGACAATGCCGTGCCTGCAGAAAGGGCAGCGGATGGAGCCAGGGTGACCACTTGGCAGTTCAGACTGGGCATTGCTGGTTGAGCAAAGGTATAGTGCACATCTTACACAAAGTGAATGTCCACAGCCTGAAAGTGTACACCCAAAAAAATGTAATCAAATTAGTTTGGTATTGAAAAAGTATGGTTTGTGGTACTTTTTTGCAGAAGATGATCATTTTAGCCATTTTTATAGTAGTATTTTAATATTTTTTTCCATAATTTATTATCAACAATTTATTTAATATGTTTGATCTGAAAGTGAAGAATATGAAAAAGAAAAGAATAGACCTTCGGCAGCAACTGAACATGTTCTCTCCAGGCAGACGGCACATGTATCAGCATCACCTGAAGGGGTGGTGGCTGAGGACTGCAAACCATACTCTCTGCAGTGAATCACAATAGTCATACTCATTACAATGGACAGCGGATTGCAATGTTTTAAACGTAGGATTGTCATATTTTAAGGGGAAAAATACCAAATACAATGGCCATATGGGGTATTAAGCAAGTTGCTACTGTCAAGAGCACGAATAACATTCGTGATTCCATAGATAAGTATGCCACATATGCAAGGGCAAATGATAGGGTACCTTGCAATGTTAAGGACACTCAAGAGCGGCAATGATAAATAGTTTGAAGGTGGAAAAATTGGTATAACGGCATCAGAGTTTGGATCAAGCAAAGACTCAAGCCAATGTCGCCCCCACATCCTGGCAATATCAAGAGGAAGCAACCTGCAAGAGAGGACATTTTTATTAATGTACTAAACAGATGTAATAGCATCAACTCAAAATTGTTCCTCGGGTGTTTAGAATCAAGAACAGGAAGATAAGCATTACCCATTGCAGTTCAATGTCAACCGACTGGCACATCTTGCAATTAGCATCTGCATACCATGAAATCCAAAGAAATCAAGGAAAATAAGTTCTCTTCCAACTACGGGTTTGTTTGGAACCATGAAATACTAGGAAAAGAAAATGAGAAAACTCGGGAGGAAAGAAAATTTAGGGGAAATAAAAGATAGGCCCAAAATCAATAAATTCATTCTAGATCTTCATTCCAACTCAATTTGTATATTTCTTTTGTATAAAGATTGAAGTCTAAATATTTGTAAAAATTAGAAAGAAAAAAAATACTCCGTAATCTTTTACATTTTCCTTTGAATTTCAAAGGTGCAGGGAAACATTGGAGAAAACCTTTCCTTCACAGTTTTCCCCGCTTCCCTAGCATTTTCTGAAATCCAAACAGACAGATTGAAATCATCTAAAACCATTGAGTTAAAACCATCACCTGGCAGCATTTAAGATTACCCCCACATGCAGCATAATGCAAAGGAGTGCTTCCTGATCCTAGAAACCGATGCAGTTAAGAAATTCAGGTTAGGATCACAGGGATCAGAAACAAATATGTACATTATGATCCTTAAACAAAAACATGCCTATAAGATCCATGGACGATCCATAGTGAAAAGTGACAGCTGATATATCCGCATTAAGATCAAGTAGGAGCTGGACACAATCGTAATATCCATTCAATGCAGCCATATGAAGAGCAGTAATGCCACCATCAGCAGCCTTATTTACAAACTTTGACAAACTCCTGCAATTAAGTAAAACATTTACATAAAAGAAGGGCTAGGTCCTAGAGCGCAGAATCTTGTATAAACTAAACTACGACAGCGATTGGGGAATGCTAATTTTACTAGAAAGACTAATGTGGACGAATGTGTTGCTAAAATTGGGGCTGAAATGACTGAATTTTCAGAACTTTCAAAAAATGTATTTAAAATATATACTTTAAATAAATTAAAGAATCATGATCTAAAATTGAAATTTATTTGTAATTTCCTTGTATTGATCTGATATCACATTTCATTCAAACAAGTATGGAGTAACTTCTACCCTACTTTCTTTATTATGGACTACAAGCTCTTTCACATTATGCAATCAAATAAGTTAGTGTTTGGTAGAAAATCTTGATAGGAAGAAACCCAATGCTACCAGGTGGGAAGAAATTCAATATCACATTCCCAGCAAATAATACAACAACAAACCCATAATAATCCCAACGTTATGCATCCCATTCAATGAAGCAAATAATGAACTGCTTACCCTTTTTCGTTCTTGGTTTTAGAATGTGAGTTGTCATTTGAACTAGGGGTGGATTCTCCGCTTAGAGATTCAAAAGGGGCACTTGGGACAAAATCAGCCACCACCAATCTCACACACCTAACATGCCCATGCATTGCAGCAAAATGGAGAGCAGTCCTCCCGCTTAGATAGTCTGCTCTTGTAACCTGAAGGGATGCCACACTATGATTTCTTTTCTAAACATAAAATTTGAATTTTTTAAATCCTCACGAGAAGATTATGCTTATCATAAAAAAGCAGCAAGGCTAAAAGCTTATAATTGCATTCATAAGTAAAGATCAACAACGCAAAAGAACGAAAAAAAATAAATAAAATAAAGTCAGCATAAGGTAGACTCACATTGCATCTAAAAAGAAGAAGAGTTTGAACAACTTCCCAGTGGCCATACCGACACGCTTGCATCAATGCCGTCTATGATAAAAAACAGTCAAGAATCAAAATTGAAATAAAAATTGAAGGCGATCACCCCCACCATAAGAGTTTATCATTGATTAGCACAGAGAATCAAGACCCTATACCTGGCCACAGTAATTTCTTGAATTCACATCAGCCCCATTCTCAAGCAACAATGCCACAATCTAATTATAATATTAAAAAAAAAAAAACTCCCACCATGAAATGAACCCAAATAACAAAAAAAGTCAAAAAAAAAGAAAAGAAACAGAAACGAAAACCTCATTGTGGCCCTTAGCGGCGGCGAAATGGAGGGGAGAGTTGAGGCCGCCGAAAGTGGAGTATTTGGCTAAATAGGGATTGCAATCCAGCAACATCTTAGCTTCAACGAAGTCGCCGTCTCTCGCCGCCGACACCAGCCTCTCCCCGGACGCAGAGCAACCGAAGGAGTTCCCCATCTCTCTCTCTCTCTCTCAATCTCTCCCGGGAAAGAATCTGAATTTTGTAAATTTCTGGTTCGTATGATTGGGGAATTGTACCTTGGATGGAAGAGGGGTTTTCTGTGTGAAGACGGAAAAGGAGGAGGTGGCAATCAAGTCAACTTTTGTAGACAACCCAATTTCATCAAACAAATTTTATAGTGGGCACTCTTTATTATTCATTTATATATACACTCTCTCTCAAAAAAAAAAAAGAATATATATTCTTTCCATTTCAATTAAAATTTAATTGAATGAAATTTTTAAATTGCTAAAAAAATAATAATATGTGATTTAAATTGCTAATTTAACCAACTTATAAATACAAAGAAATATCTACTTAAGTTTTATTACAAATTTTTTTGTATATGTAAATTGTGTGAGATATTCTTAGATGAATTGCAATACAGAGAAAAATACTAAGAAGTGTCACATATTTTAGATATACTTACTTCATTCGTAAAAGAATTACACAATTTAAATCACATGTAAAATTTGATTCTTTGAAATTTATTTTATTTATATGAATTTATTTTATTTATAAAAATTGGTTTATAAATCATGTGTAAAATTTGAAACTTTTTTTAATTTATATTTTTTATTGATCATTTTATAGAGGATCACTTATGGAATAAACTCTATACAAGTGTATTATAAAAAACTCAATACAAGTATTATTAAAGATATAATAATAGATAAATAAGGGGTGATCATAACTACACCCGTTAAAACACTAAATGCATTTGTTAACTAAATGCACTCCAGATGCATTATTATTTTATTATTTTAAAAAAA